ATACAAAACTAGTCCAAATCACCTCCGATCTTCCTCAAATTTTGTATATTGACTTATCTATATATTTTCAATGAATTTTAACTATACCCATTGAAAAAGTTCCTGTTTTGTTTAGATTTTTGGAATATTGTATAGATTTTTATATTTCATCACCTTATTTGCCACCCCGTCTATGAAATTTCCTTTCCGTCTTGTATCTAATGTTGCTAATCACGCTAAAAATATGGAAGGTGATTTTTGCATGTGATTCTTTGATAGAAAGAACCCTATTATTTGGGTTTTCAATTTTTGTTGGCTAGTTTTGGTAAGTCTATGACTAATGGCTAGAGGTTGGTAAGTTGAGTTTTATATGAGACATTTGTGTAAGTTTCCCAATTTAAGTTCCTACAGAGAAACCAACAAATTTAAACAAAATTCTTACGTCAAGAACAAAGGAAAAAATATTTGAATTTGAAATACGAAGCCCATATTAAAGAGAAAATAATATATGGAAATAAGAAACTCACAATATGGGGAGGACTAAAAGAGAATTGAAGTGACCCAAAGTTTGGCGTCTCTTTGCAAGCGTTATTTTTCTCTCTTTGTAAGCGTCCTTTCATTTCTCTACAGCCGTATTCTCATAGTTTACAAAAAAAAAAAAAAAAAAAAAAAAAAAAATTAAAATTAAACAGCGTAGCACAATAAAAGAGGTATTAAAGCAATTTAACTTTTAAATTAACGATTCTTTGTTTTTAATTAATATAGCATAGATATAGATATAAATAATATAATAATATAGAGAGCATCCCTTAAAATTAGGATGTAACTGATATAGCCCTCCTCCCACGTTGCCCCCTTCCCCCTCCCCTTATCACCCCTCATGTATATCACTTATACAAAGCCCCTAAAATTATGTTTTCATCCTATTTTTAAAAAGATTTTAAAATATTTCTTTCTCTTTCATACAAATCAACCCAAATCTCACCCTCTTCACACACAATTATCGATATTATTTCTAAAATTGCAGCAGCAAAAGGTTCTCCATTGACATCCATTAAAAAGATTTGAATCTTTGAATTAAATATTCGGGATTTTACGAATTTGTGGTTATTTGGATTGGGTGTTCTAGCAAATAGTTGAGAATATACATTAGAGTTTATATCTCAATTTTGAAGGAGATTGGTTAAGTTTAAATTGGGTTTTAAATAAAATTCCAGATTGAAATTCGAAGAAGAAGAAGAAGAAGAAGTTTCAAAATTGTATCACGATTATGATAATTGTATCACAATTGTATCAATATTTATATTTTATGAATTTATGATTTGCTTGGGTTGGGTGTTCTCACAAATGATTGAGAATATACTTTGGAGTTTATATCTCAATTTTAAGGGAGACTGATTAAGTTTATAGTAGTTGTTTTTAGGTAAAATTTAGATTGAAACTCGAAGAATAAGAATTTAATAATTGTATGATAATTATATCAGAATTATTAATGATTGTATCAGAATTGTATTATAATTATATCTGAATTGTATCAGTACATGAAACGACACCTGATACAATACTGATACAAGTTTAATACAATATTTTTATATCAGGATTGTACTAATCTTTTATTGGTATTATTTTTTGTATGCGATGTATTTTTCATCTTCGACTTTCAATCTGAAAATAAAAGCTATAATTATTGGTGGTTTTGTGCTGGTTTTTATGGAGTTTATTGCTGATTTTAGGCGAAATTTCATAGTGAAACTTGAAGAGGGAAAAGTTCAGAATTGTATCACAATAGTATCATAATTTGTCAAAATAATTTTCAAATTGTATCATAAATGTATGATAATTATACATAAATTATATATGATACATCAAACATAAAATAACATGATATAGTATTAATGCAAGTATAATACAATCTTGTATCAGAATTGTATAAAAATTTATAAGAATTGTATTAAAATTGCCTCAAAAGAATATCTGAATTGTATTTGATTACATGATACAATTGCTAAATCTTATGTTTATTCATTTGCGGAATATCTATCTATATCTATATCTATATTATATAAAAGCATGAACCCCTAAATTGAAAAGTTGAATTATTTATTTACCCTTCTAAAATTTTACTTATCCTACTGATTTAAAATAATTTATAATAATAATATATTGATTATAATATTTAAACAAAAATAAAGAGGAAACTGTTCGCAAAGGTTGTGTATCTTGAAATGCTTCAAATTATTTCAATCGTTGCCTTTTTAGTGAATTCAACGGTTGCCTTTGTAAAAGTCTTATCATCTATTTAAATGGTTCTACCTTTTGTCTGTGCTATTGACCGATGATCAAGCAAAATCTTTCTCCTGTCCAAATGAAATGTCCTTAATTTTTTGATGAGCTTTTCTCTTTTTCATATAATCCAGTTGATGAGTTCTTAAGTGGTAGCGAAAACATGGTGCATGATTTTCAGATTATGTTCACATAAAAGTTATGCACTCATTTACGATGAATGAAGACTCTGTGAACAGTTGGTTTTTGAATTTTTCAGGCACAAACTTCTATTATAAATCCCTTCTATAGTCCTTCACTAAATTCACTTCTCACGGAACTTGTATAATCCCTTCTGATATTAAACTTCTAATTACTCGCAAAAATGCTTGCAGCTAAACTTAATTCTAACACTTCATTTTGTACTCTCACAAGGAATTTTATTGGCAGCATTGGTGCTAGGAAATTACTAAATATTTATTTTGCGGCAAATGTGGCTACTGATTATCAAGGTGGAAATAGATGACAACAATGGTGGTGGATCTGTTGCGGACGAACCACACGTGGTTTTAAAGCTTTATATATTAATTGACTTGGTATTTTTAAATTTTGTATGCAAATCATATGGTCTCTACTAATATTTCATACACAAACGGACTTGTGCACTCTCTCTCTCCATATATATATATTATATATATATATATATATATTGTTTCCTTGGAACGCATGTTTGAGATGTCTTTTTTTGGTAAACTATGACTTCTTTTGATATATTTTGGTCATTTAGAGAAATTTTTAAGTTCTTTGCAATTGCTTTTTTTGCTTTACAATTTGTTTATTATTATTGTATTTATAGTTCATTAAACCTACTTTATGAAGTATAAGCGGATGAAAAGATTATTTTAGCAAAAGAAACTTTTATTGAGTAAAAATATTTGATATAATATTTGAAGATATATTGCCTACTATTGCATTATAACATATGAATATAAATTAAATTTTATGTGTCAAGTATTAGTTAATCATTATTTTGTATTTTTTTAATTGAACATGTTAAAGATGGAGGTAATAAAAATAAGGGGAAGGAGAAGCAATGATGTTAATTCTATACTAGAAAGATTATGCACATCCTTTCAAGTTAGGTTTCACAAAATTGACGCTATATCTTTATAATTATCAACAATCGTTGTTAATATAATTACGTCAATTAGCATTTGCATCAAATGTAGATTTGTTTTCTACTCTTCTTAGTTAGAGGTTACTTGTATTTAGTCGAACATACAATTGGTAATACTTATATTTTTTAACTAATTAGAACTACTTCAATATATCACCTAAATTAATATAGCTATCGTCAGTGCAAGATGTCACATTTTTTAAAGAATTGTTTTAAATTAATATCTATATCAATTAAGAATGTTAACATACTAGAAAATACAAAACCTATCTTATATTATTTACTATTACATTATTTTTCTTTGTCCGCTTAATCATCTCAAGTTCAGTCAAAATGGGAATCGGTGTAGAATTGACAAAATAATATGTGTACCTATTAACAAGCTACAACAATTTTCTTTGATTAATGATAAAAGTATTAGTATTCGAAGAGGACTAATCTTCAGTGCACAAAGAATCTACAATATCCTTTTTATTAACATCTTTATAAAGAAATTCGACAATGATAATATTCCAAGCCCAAAATTTTTTAAATGCTCCATAACATCAAATATGTTCTCCAAGTTTCATTATTTGATGAAATTTTGCATTTCATTGATTGACGCTGGAAAAAAAATTGGCATTTCAAATAAATTTATGATATTTTGCAATGGATTTGTGCTGTAATGATTTCGAACTTAACAAATCAAGTGTGAAGTTTTTTTTTTAATAATTGTATAGAGATAATTCAGTTTTATTTACCATGTAAATAGTGGGTTTTAACTTAGTATAAATAGTATGTTTGATTGTACATCTTTGTAGGCTTAGGAAAAACAATTTACTTGTCTCAACATACACGTGCAACGCACGTGCCGAAAAACTGGTATGTTAAAAATATAGAGACTTATTAGATTTTTTATTCGTAACTCTATTAGGTTGAAAGCTATTGAGCCTACTCGAAGAGATGACCAAAAAAAAGGAAAGGCTATAATTGAACCCCATAGTTAAAGGCGTTAACAATAGTGTGGATTTTTTTAAAGGGAAATATATACAATTTGTGAGAAAAACTTAATTACTTTTTGCAAACTATAAAATCTAAAGAAAATGAGTAAATAAGGTACTATAACAGTACATATAGGAAAAACTTCCTTCCGAAAATAATAGAAAAGGTTGGGCTTGTCGTTGGTATTCCAAATCCTTGTCAAAGTCGATAAGTAACGCCTACATAAATGACCTCAAAAGACCAAACCAAAACCATAAACATAGGTTGTTTTTCTCTTGACCTAGAAACCTTACAGCCTCTTCCTTTTCAACTCACACAGCCCTATGCCCCCCCTTGTGGTATTCATCCGGATTTATCCTGGTCGGAGGAGAAATTACCAAACGTCTAGCATTCCCTCACGCTTGGCGCCAATGAGGTAGGTGGATCTATAGGGGAAAGGATAAATATATAGTATCAATAAGAAGATAGTTTGATTGCATTAGCTTCAATTGAACAAGCTCAACCTTGAAAAAAAAAGGTGGTAGGCCGACGTCCCTCGCTGCCTTAAGGCACGCCTTTACTCCCAAGACCGGATTCATTCACAACAGCTTCTCCTTCCGCTATGGCGAATCGGGCAGAGTTGCCGCTGGATCTCCTTACTCAGATTACAAAGCGTGTTAAAGTGATTGAAGATTTCATTGCTTTTGGTGTTGTCTGTACCTCGTGGAGAACTGCTGCTAGAAAGAAATTTTTCGATGTGCTTTCGCCCCAAGTGCCATTACTTATGTTGGCGGATAAAGATGACTATTATCGAGAATTTTATTCTCTTTCTAAGAAGAAAGTTTCACGCATATTTCTCCCAGAAACTAGAGGGCGAGAGTGTTTTCCATCAAAGGGATGGTTGTTCACCATGTCATATACCAGAGGGATGAACTTGTTGCACCCTTTCTCTCATATCAATATACAGCTTCCCCCACGAAAAGACTTATTATTGGCTTCAGAGGGTCTCGTTGAAGCACCTGAAGAAGATATCTGCATAGACAAAGCTATCTTATCAGCCAGTCCTTCTCTTACATCAGATTATGTACTGGTGATTAATTATAATTATGGACGTGTTAATAGTTTGGCTTTTTGGCGGCATGGAGATCTCAACTGGACTCATATTGACATTAACACCCATGGTGGAGTCACGAGTATGAATTATTACAAGGGTCAATTTTATTGTGTCACATGGTCTGGCCAAGTCTGGGTTTTTGATGTTGCAAGGCCTAGAATTACCAAATCAATTGTAAAACCACGCTTGCTTATTTGGCTGAAAGATAAAATCTTTGGTCAATGTTCATTTAAGTTCTATCTAGTCGAGTTATCCGGTACACTATTACTTGTTACCCGATTTCCTCATGGAGGGTGTTAGACCTTTAGATTTAAAGTATTCGAGTTAGATATAATCAAGCTCGAATTGAAAGAGATTAACACCTTGGGAGATTGGGCAATTTTTGTGGGCCTTAACGGAGCAAGCTCCGTTGACTCTTCTAAATTTATAGGAGTCAAGCCTAATCACATATATTTTACGGATGATTGGGTAGAAGAATTTAAATACGTGCAAGGTGGTGGTGGAAGAGATATGGGGGCTTACAATATTAAAGATGGAAAAATTGGATCTTTTTATCCCGGATTGTCACCAAGTCCTATTTCCCCGCCTACTTGGGTCATACCATCATTTTGATAATGTGATAGCAGTCATGAGTTAATGTCTCTTTATGGTATTCAGCTTGCAAATAATAACTCTTCAATTTGATTCCCTTCGAACATTCTATCTCTTTCTAGCATGTCATTTTAGTTGTATGCTGTGTGTTATCTATGTACTGCATTAATGAAATTGAATTGCAAGAATGTTATAACAAAGAGAAATACACGGCCTAGGTGAAAATACTTAGTAACTTAGCTTGTTTCATGAGGAATGTTAGTGACTTAGAGTAGGAGGATAAAGCAGGTCTTATCCGGGCTTCAATTGTAAACTGCAGTCAGGCTACTTGTGCAATCCGGGTTATTATAATTGGCTGTTCTTGCAAATGATTGAGAATATACCTTGGAGTTTATATCTTAATTTTGAGGGAGATTGGTGATCACGCCCAACTATGCCTTATAAAAAGGACTAAGCGGTCGTTGCAAATATAACCCGAGTATTACGCCCAGGGTCGAATCCACAGAGAGTTAACCTATCAACCGCTATCTTCAGACCCACCACTTCTTCAGAACCAGCTTCCCAAATATTCAAATCTCAGTTGAGTGTTCTTTTACAACTATCTTGCAAGTAACTAAATGGCTGTAACTAAATTAATAAGGTTGTAAACAATTATGGGAAAAAGCTAAGGCAATGATTTCCCCTATTGATGGAATCCCTTCTGTTTATGCTCATACAAATTTACCCACACATCTCTATCAATCATGAACGCTAATCTTACCGCAGATCTCTCCCGAGTAATCACAGTAATCTACTATTGCACTCTCCCGAGATACACTAGCTTGCTTTATTTAGCACAATTCACTTAGATTACACCCAAGGCTTCGTTATCCCTAATCCCGCCTTTAAACCCGCAATTATAGATTCCTCTAATAATCTAGGAATGGTGTTGTTCAACAATACCCTAAATATGCACTCTTTTCCAAGTTATGCACACTAAATAGGCACAGCTAATTGAGGATCCTGTCAATTAACTACAACGAACACGAAGTTGAACAAATAAAGATTAAACTAGCAATTTATATTCACATAAACAAGAAGTTCATCACCCAATAGGTTCCATCAAAGCCTTAGACAAGGAATTTAGCTACTCATGACTATGGGAAAATAAACTAAGATTGAATTCATCATAAAATCAAAAGAAAAGAAGAAAGATGTTTAGAGTATTTTCTCACAATGGTTTTCCTTGCTAAGAAACCTAAAAAATCAATACATGCCTCTCTTGGGCGAAGTCTAATGTTTTAAATAGGGTTTAGGTCTAAAAATCCCATAATTGACACTTTGGTCCCAGAAGTTTCTGCGCCTGCCGCGGTTCTGCCGCGGTCGCGGTAGAACCGCGGCCAAACACCCTCGCGGAATCTCTGAACTTCTGCAGCTGCTTCCCACCGTGGTTCTGCCGCGGTCGCGGTGGATCCAGTTCTCTGAATCTTCGGCCTGTTTTTGCACGGGTCACTTAGGAAATTTCACAGTTGGCCTCTTTTTCATCACTTTTGACTCCAAAACTGCTCCTTAGCCGTCTTTATACATATATCACCTACAAATCATGAAAAGCACTAATAAGAGCATTTTGTCATCACTTTTAGCATTAAAACTACACAAGAAGGTGATTATTTAAGGTGTGATTATAGTCAAATTCACCTATTATCAACACCCCACACTTAAATCTTTGCTCGTCCTCGAGCAACTAAACCACACTTCTAGGCCTAACTGCTCAATGCATTGCCCCAATTTATGTCACACCTGCTATTATCAATGATCGACCCAAGCAGTGCACAATCGTATCTCAAATGCAGACTCTCATACCAGACACACTTGTGCTCACTCTAATTACTCTAACAGAAGTGAAGACTCACTTTTTCTTCCTGAGTCACATGCCCTCACATAAACAAAATCTGAGAGAAGTTCCACACACATAAAATTCAACAATAAGGAACCATATATGGAAAGAATTCACTCACTCTCAGCAAAGAGCATTCACATGCCACACAGACACACCATAAGCTTGCCCCTAGTGTAATACTCCACTAATCGAGCCATTCAGTCCAAGATCAAGAGGTCTTTATAGGTTGTAATGTAGGCTAAGGGACGGGTAGGATATATTTGGATATAGTGACTAACCTCCCTAAGCACTTTTAATACACACTTCTTTTTTTTTTATTTTACCTTTATGTTCAACCCAATCATTACTCCACATTTTGTTTCACTTGTGACCCCCACTTTTCGTTAGGTCCAACTGGCTGCTTCTTCTCTTTTTTTTTTCTTTTTTTTTCTTTTTTTTTTCATATTGATTGTACACTGCCAGTTCACCAACCAGAACCTTCATTCTTGATTCCCCTTTTTTCACTAACTCTCTCCCACCCCACACTTTGACTTTTGTATATTCTTTAGTGATTCAAGTGCTTCTAGGAGGTAACGGTTCAAACAATTAGCTTATACAAACACAACGATTTAGATCATTATAGGGTTATCAAAGAATAGGCTTCAGGCTCAAAGGGGTTAACTATGGTAATATTCACAGGTAGATTCTCAAGTATAAAGGATTGCACAAAGAAATGCCTCAATCATCTCTAAAACCAAACAACTTCTATTTCGCTTTGCAAACACACAGGGCAAGTTCTAGGTATCATATGCAAGCATAGAATGGAAGTAACAACTCACACCTACTTACCATGTAACTCATTCCGAATCATTTCATCAACACAATCATACGGGTGTTCAAGCAAGACAAGATGTGCAAAATTAAGGTATATATTATGAGTTCACAAACAAGCTTAGATCTTACACCCTTAGTTCGTTTTCTTTGCAAGTGTGCACATTTGGGGTTACATTCTGACCTTCACCCATTTAATCCTAAAACTATAAAAGAAAAATCTACCTAACCCGGTTCAAGAAAAACCCTTGGAAAAGAACCGTGGTCAAAAGAAAAACCAAAGGGGAGGTACTACACTACCTAAAAGAAGAAAAAAAAATAAAAAAAAATTCTACATGGACTACTTCCCTCAAGAGTACTGTCCACATAGTCCGTCATCAGGAAGAGTCCTCTACAAGTTTTTTTTTATTTTTTTTATTTTTTATATATATATATATCTGACTTTGACCCTCAAGAGACCCGTCAACAAGTGTCCGTCGTTGGGCCAAGTCAACTACTCCTAATATAACTTACTCACATATGTACACCACATCTACTGCTACCACACAACAACAGCTATATACAATTTAATACACATTTAGAGCAAGTCTTCCACCCCACACTTAAAATCATGGCATGTCCCCATGTCATATCAATACAGTGAAGAACAGAAGAGTGAGAAGACTTCCCTGAGACTCAATCCGAGTCGGAGACGGTGCTGGGGTCTACATGGCAAGCCCTCCCCAATGCGCGTAGCCAAGCCATAAACCGGCTCTCAGATCTAGCCTGCCTCTGTGACATGGCGTCCATCCGTGTGTGTAGACCATTCACCGAGGTGCGGAGATCCGCGACCTCTTCCTCCAAGGAGCGCAGCATAGGCCGGGAGGACTGTGAGCGTGATAGATCTGCTCCAGAATGGGGGCGCCGAGAGGGCCCGACACTGTCAGCAGACCTCCTGGACGGTGCAACAGGGACCGGATCATCCTCCTCATCATCAATCTCAATTGTAGTGCGGGTGCCCCTGCCCACTCTGATGCTAGAAGCTTTGAAAGATGCTTTGGGAGGCAAATCGCCATCACCAGGGTTGGTAGGGGTGTTTCTCATCAAGCACAATGTGGTCACCAAGGAAGGGAAATAGAATCCCTTTGTCAGCAGCGGGCCCCGTAAGACCATTTCATCTCCAATTACCCGTGCCGCATCAAAATCCTTCCCTGTCACAAAGCACCAAGTCAACAGTGCCCTATTGAAGTTCACGTCCGTGGTATTGCTAGAAGGCAGGAACCTGCTACAGATAACAGTCAACCAACACTTGGCCAGGTGAGTGAAGGAGTTAGAGTTGAGGGTTATTTGGTCACGTATCCATATGGGCTGCCCCCCTGTGCAAAGTACATCCGTCATGACCTCCCATGTCACCCCGGGCCTGTCATGGTAATAATCGACATCACTGGTGAACGGAGGCAGCCGCAACACCCGGCGAATTGTTTGAATTTGAGCACTGACCACCATACCCCGAACAATCACCTCCCTACCCAAGTTCAATGGGCAATTGGCATAAAATTCACGAACCAGCATCTTGTTAACTGGTGCAGGGTCAGCAAATAAGAACTCCATTTCCCGCCTCCGTATCTCCTCATACATCTCCACTTTTTCGGCTCGGAGGGCTGCCCGATCAATCGGGATTTCAGGGATAAAAGTTTTGGTAGCCTTGGCGTTGAAATCGTCCTCTGCCAGTTCCGATTGGAATCTGGACTCATCATACGCAGGTCGTTGGGATGTGCCTCCAGAGCGCCTGTGCCTTTTGGGAGCCATTGGACCTGCAAATAATCAAACAAACCATCAACATATGCCCTAGCTAGTGCCAATAAGGTGGTTACTCAGACTTCACCACCCAATGACACCAAATATAGCTCCTGACTTCACTAATAACAACCCCCACAATAGCTCCATAATTTTCTTACCATGTCCGGTATAATACACCCCACACTTATTCCATTCAATGGTACCCATGACATACAACACCACCAAATAACAAATACCACTT